ATGCCTACTTAATAAGCCCTAAATAAAACCCAAAAGGACAGTGTTTGCAGAGCTTCCAAATTGTTGACCAAGTGGAGGTTCCTGGAGTGTGGTGTGCCTGGAGAGGGCATGGAAGGTCTCTACCCCTTCCCACATACCATTGCCTATGTATCTCTTCCATCTGGCTGTTCATTTGTATCTTTTAAAACACCCTTTGTACTAAATGGGTAAATGTAAGTAAAGTGTTACCCTCTGTTCCAGGAGCAACTCTGGCAAAGTAAACCCAAAAAGAGGGTCATAAAAACCCCAGTTTATAGCCAGTTAGTCACTGATTGGCATCAGAAATGGCAGTGTGTGGAATGAAGACTTTAACCTGTGGGGCCTGACACTATCTCCCGGTAGATGATATTGGAACTGAACTGAATTACAGGACACTCAGCTGAAGAACTGCTTGGTGTGGGGAGAAACCACTCTCCCACATTTTGGTCGCAGAATTGTTCTGTGTTGTGTGTGTAGTAGCAGAAAAACCTGTTTATTGTTTTCCTACATCAAACAAGGATTGGCTGGGCACAGTGGCTCACTCCTGTAATCCTAGCACTTTGGGAGGCCAAGGCAGGTGAATCACCTGAGGTCAGGAATTCGAGACCGGCCTGGATAACATGACGACACACCATCTCTACTAAAAATACAAAAATTGGCCGGGCGTGGTGGCTCACGCCTGTAATCCCAGCACGTTGGGAGGCCGAGGCGGGCGGATCATGAGGTCAGGAGATCGAGACCATCTTGGACAATATGGTAAAACCCCGTCTCTATAAAAGATACATACATACATACATACATACAAAAATTAGCTGGGAGTGGTGGTGGGCGTCTATAATCCCAGCTCCTCGGAAAGCTGAGGCAGGAGAAATCACCTGAACCTGAGGGGTAAAGGTTGCAGTAAGCTGAGATCGAGCCACTTCACTCCATCGTGGGCAAAAGAGCAAAACTCCATCTCAGACAAAAAAAAAGGATAAAAAGCACAAAGTAAGTAAATGAAAACATCAGTAATCACAATAAAGGCAAATAGATTAAGCTCACCAATTAAAAGAAAAAGGATCTGAGACTGGAGAAATTAAAAACATCTAAACATAGGTTGTTGACACATCTAAAACATATGGGGGTAAAAAACTTCAAAGAAAAAGGATGGGAAAAAAATAACAAGCAAATATTAACTAAAAGAAATTACACATGTATTTTGACACAGTATATTGGTATTCTGAGATAATTATTTTAGTATCAGACAAAATATATTTTTAAGAAAAAATTCTTATGGACAAAGAAAGTTACAACATGAGAATGAAAATAATTCATTAGATAGATAAAACAATCTTTACATAATTTTTTCTTTTTACATTTTATAAAACTTACGGATACGTAAAAGTAGAAAAAAAATAGTACAATGAACACCTAAAAATCAACAGCTTTGGTAGGAGAATACACCTTTTTCCAGATGTGTAAAGTATTTTGGGGTGAAATGTCATAATGTGTAAAACTTACTTTGAAACAGTTCAACCACAATTATAAAAAACAAAATATAGATGCATAAATCATGAAGCTATTATGACAAACTGTTAACAATGGATGACTCGAATTATCACCTCAAAACATAAAAATAGCTCCATAATTTGATCTCATGGTCATTCTATAAATTTCCCCATTGTCCCCAAAAATGTCATTTGTAACACACCTTTTTTCATAGCACTATCCAATCAATGATCATCTGTTGCATTCCATTGTTTTATCTTTTATAAAGAAGAAAAATCACAGATCATTTTTTTCTCATTAATATACATGTAGATTTTTAAATTTCCTACAACAAAATGATAGCAAATTGACCCAGTAAAATATAAAAGGAATAATACAAACATTTTGTACCAAGTTCAGTTTTTTCCAGGAAGGCAAAATTGGCTTAATATCAATCAATGCAATTCACCATATTAAGAGAATAAAGAAAAACAAAGCAAATTGACAGTAACATGGACTAGGAATCAAAAGCCCATTATAACCAGATGCCTGAGAGTAAAATAAATCTACAATACAAGGAAAAACAAAAACAAGACAAAAGCCACATCATTATTGACAGAGAAATAGGTAGCAATTTGGTTTTGAATTTTCCCAAGGGATGAGTCATTTCTAGGCTAGATCTTTCTTTTTTTGAGATGGAGTTTCGCTCTTGTTGCCCATGCTGGAGTGCAATGGTTCAATTTCAGCTCACTACAACCTCTACCTCCCAGGTTCCAGAGGTTCTCCTGCCTCAGTCTCCCAAGTAGCTGGGATTACAGGCACGCATCACCATGCCCGGCTAATTTTTTTGTATTTTTAGTAGAGACGGGGTTTCACCACGTTGGTCAGGCTGGTCAAGAACTTCTAACCTCAGCTGATCCACCTGCCTCAGCCTCCCAAAGTGCTGGGATTACAGGCGTGAGCCACCTCGACCAGCCACTTTCTTTATAATGCAATTAACAAACAAGTTTTGGGACACCAAAAGATAGTGACTGATCAAAAAGTCATTCTACTAGTCCCTTTATTCTCTGTTTTAAAAATAATATTTTGCATTTCCCTGATGGAAGGAGGTATTATGACCGTTCTATTACCTTTTACCTAGCCTGGGAATGGGGGAATATGGAGACATCCAATCGATGGGAACGTAAAATGGCACAAACACTTTTGGGAAAGATAATTTGGAAAAATGCACATTTCTTTTCTTTTTTTTTTTTTTTTTTTTTTGAGACTGAGTCTCCCTCTGCCATTCAGGCCAGAGTTCAGTGATCCATCCCAGTATTTGGAATTATAGGTGGCCGCCACCACGCCAGGCTAATTTTTGTATTCTTTTAAGAGTCAGGGTTTCACCATGTTGGCCAGGATGGTCTCCATCTCCTGACCTAGTGATCCACCCACCTCAGCCTCCCAAAGTGCTGGGATTACAGGCATGAGCTACTGTGCCTGGCCAAAAAAAGTGTATTTTTTAATGCAATTATCCTATGATCCAGTAGCTTCACTCATACATATTTATCCAAAAGAAATGAAAGCTTAAATTCACAAGACTTCTTTTAGAATGTTCATAGCAGCTTTATTTATGATAGCCAAACACTAGAAATAGCCCAGGTGTTCATCAATAGAATGGATATATAAACTATGTCAGATTCATACAACAAAATACAACTCAGCAATACATAGATTACTGATGCAACAACGTGAATGAATACCAAAAACTCATGAGTGAAAGCTGCTAGACATAAGAATACATGTTTTTATGATAGCATTTACGTGAAATTCTAAAATAGGCAAAACAAATCTATGGTGGAAAATTTTGCCTTGTAGGTAGAGAGGTGAGAATTGAGTAGGAAGAGTATGAGGGGCCTTTTCAGTGTGACGGTAATATTCTTTATCTATAGGAGTTTGAGTAGCAGGTAAATGCATTTGTCAAACCTCAGCTAGTACATACTTAAAATTTGTGCATTTTATTATATGTAACTTTTACATCAAAAGAAGAAAACCCTAAACAAATACCAAATTTGCTAATGATTTACATGCTAAAGTATTTATGGGGAAGTGTACTGATGTCTATAATTTGTTTTGAAAAGCATTAAAAAATAAAATGGATTAATAGCTATGGTGGAGTATAATTTAAAAATAAGCACTTTGGGAGGCTGAGGCAGGCAGATCACATAAAGGTCAGGAGTTTGAGACCAACCTGGCCAACACAATGAAACTCCATCTCTACTAAAAATACAAAAAATTAGCTGGGTGTGGTGGCAGGCACCTATAATCTCAGCTACTAGGGAGGCTGAGGCAGAAGAATCTCTTGAACCCAGGAGGCGGAGGTTGCAGGGAGCTGAGATAGCACCATTGTACTCCAGCCTGGGCAACAAGAGCAAAACTCTGCCTCAAAAAAAAAACAACAAAAATTAGCCTAACTTTTCCCCATTATGCTTCTCTATATTCTCATTGTTTCTCCTGGTTTGTTGTTGTTGTTACTGTTTTGAGGCAGGGTCTTGCCCCGTCGCCCAGGCTGGAGTGCAGTGGTGCGATCATGGCTCACTGCGCAGCCTCTACTTTACAGGATCAAGCAGTCCTCCTGCCTCAGCCCCTGAGTAACTGAGACTGCATGAGCAATACCAGTCCCCTAAATAAAAGTTCTTAAGAATCCTTCAGGGCTTTCAATTATGGGAGAAAAATGGTTTCAATTAACTACATTTTTTTTTTTTTGGTCTGTTTCATTATGTCATGCTCCCTTTTCAGGTATATACTTCTAAAAGAGAAGGGGAAAAATGGTAACTATATTAATAGCTACTCAACTCAAAAGTGTTTGGTTAAAAACAGAACACTGTTTACATTTAAACCAAAACTGTGAGAGAGAGGTTCCTATGTAAGCTGCTAACACTGTAGGCTTCCAAGGCATAACTAAATGAGATGAGATGGATTTCTATAAATTCAAAAGAATATGGTCACTAAAAAGGCAAACGAGTCTTTATAGTCTATGTAGCTTCAGAGTCAAAATCATGTTTCTTGAACACTAATGAGACCCAAGTATCATTAACTACCTGAAATAATGTTTAAATTACTTTTTAATTCACATATTTGCTTAAAGTAAACCCAAAGACACCCTAATACAAGTTTGCAAGTTTTTAGTACCTTTAGTGATGCCCTCTGTGCTAATGTCCAAATTAACTAAGATTAAATGTCAAGCCTTAGTATTTATACCTTCAGTTAATCTTAATTTGGACATTTGCACAGAGGGCATCACTTGAAAATCAACAGTGATTTTTAAGAAGTCAAGCCTCAGCTCTCCATTCTATCTCTGCATCAGACTCTCCTATCCTAGGTATCAAATAAGAGGCACTATAGGGTAACCTTCCATTTTTCTCTTTTGAAAAAGTTATCAGGAATTGAAACGAAACCAAAATCTTCTTAAGACTCCTTTTAACCATTTATAATTTATTAAATGCACAACCAACATGAAAGAAAAAAGCCTGTAATGTTTTGTAAGTAGAAATAATATATTTTATTTCATCCCTGAAAAAAAACAAAAAACAAAAATGTCCACATCTAATAGGAGAGACTAAACAATTATTCCAAACTTCTACCTGGCAATGGTATATAATTAATTTCTTCACATAATGGTAGAGAGTACAGAGAAGAGAACAGAGATTTGGAAATCTGTCTTTCATGAAACAATATTTTCACGTATTTATTTTAACAAAATATTATAATTATTGCTACATGTGGTAGCATATTGTAATAATGAACAATACAATATCTAAAACTAAATTCTATACAGTCTAAATCTAGAAGCTAGCTGCACTTAAGCAGTTATTATAGAGAATAAATACTATGAAATATAGGGCACCATGTGACAATTAGATTTGCTACAAGGGAAATTTAAATAAAAGTATAATTTGTTTTATACTAGAATTACCAAGATTAGGATTTCCTGTGCTATATACAGTAGCTTTTTTCCTGAAAAGACAGTCAATCTTCATAGTTTATATTTTAAATGTTCTTAATTATTTTAAGTGGCCATTATATAAAATGAATATATAATGTTTCTGTTATACAAATTCAAAATTTCTTAAAGCAGGATACTCTTATACAATATAATGTTAACATTTTCCCAGCAATTTAATGCAGCACTAAAGTACTTTTATTATATACATCTGGCTAAAGTCCTCAAGAGTTCCAGTCTCCCAAGTCCCTTCCTCCCGGACCAATATAATAAAAGCAAAATTAACCCAAATATGGAAATAATGTGCTTTCCTGATAGCATAGACACGCAAAGTGTTAAACTTTTAAATGAACATTCATGTATGTGAAAAATCATGAATACTTTAGTTACTGTTAAATCTTACCAGAAAAATATTTTATTCTTCAGAATATATATATGAGAAAAATTTAAGTATGAGATTAGAGTTTACAACTATTTTAATGCTGTTATTAAATTGCCCCAATGTTAACGAAAGGTAATGGACAGTGGCTGCTACCCATTTCAAGATTATGCTCTTATAAATGTAATTTTTAAAAATATACAGTAATTAACCTTCAGTTATTTCAAAGGATAGTGCAAATGAATACATTCTTTGGGTCATGATTTCAAAACATTATTTTCAACATTATATTTCCTTTCTCTGCTCACAACTGGAATAACAAAATATAGTACAAGAAGGAAGGACATTTTCAAATAGCCTTAGTTTAATAGTTACATCTATTGAGAACAAATGACAGAATGATTAAATATTCTCCACTTGTCCAAGAAACATGTTATATACTTAAATAAATATGTTATAGAAATAAATCCATGTCTTTCAGTGTTTTTGTTTTAGCTTGACCTCAAACACAAAAGATTTATACAAAACTCACCTACCTGCTTACTACATCAAGGTACCAAATTCCCTTTAAGGACATAGTACAGCATTGAAGAGACTTGCCTGAAAACAAACAAATAACTTTAAAATTTTTATGTACAGAATTAGAGTTCCATGAATCCAGCATACTCCTTGAAAATGTGTAGAGATTTTATTGTAAAATATTACTCTGTCCTAGCCAACGCTTATAAAGCTTTTCTGCCATAGGATATAATCCACAGCGGATGGAGCAGCACAAGGTGATCTTCAACTGCTATCTGATGCTGCCTGAGGCATTCGTTCTTTTATTTGTGGTTACTGGCACCAAATTCCCACCAGTACCATTGGTGGTGTTGGTTGCTGAGCCGTTCACAACAATATAGTCAACTTTGTTCTCCAGCTTCACCAATCGTTGCAAAATGTCATCCAGAAGGACGGCAATTGTTCTTTTCAGATCCGCTAGAGGAAAAAAGTCAGAATAAAATAAACATTAATAGAGCTCTTAATTATGGTGCTTTTACAGTGTGAAGGAAAAAAGTGAACATGCACTGGGCCATTGGAGAGAAAATATACTAGAGACAACACATTCACACTACAAATAGGAAAAGCCTAAATTTTTTTTTTTTTTTTTTTTTGAGAGGGAGTCTTCCTCTGTGTCACAAGCAGAAGCGCAGTGGCATGATCTCAGTTCACTGCAGCCTCCGCCTCCTGGGTTCCAGCGATTCTCCTGCCTCAGCCTCCTGGGGAGCTGGGATTACAGGCATGAACCACCATGCCCAGCTAATTTTTGTATTTTTAGTGGAGACGGGGTTGCACCATGTTGGTCAGGCTGGTCTCGAACTCCTGACCTCAGGTGATCTGTCCTCCTGGGCCTCCCCACCAAAGTGCTAGGATTACAGGTGGAGCCCACCACTCCCAGCCATAATTTTTAAATCAACAGCATCATTTACAGAGCTTCCAAAACGAATTTCAGAGTTGTAAATGTGGGGGAAACTCTCACTTTTCTAGTACGAGATAATGGATTTTAAAGTCTGATTCAAAATGTTATTCCCACTGTGAGTAACTGGTTTCCCTTGAGTTTCTTAAGAAGTTTATAAAAAATACTACGGACTAAACAGATAAAGTAAAAAGCTAGCTAAGTAAGAAAGAGTCCATGAAATGCAGAAATCGGGAACATCCACAGGGTGGAATTGTGGGGGAGCCTAGGGTCCAGTGCAAATGACAGGAACCTGTTGAGTGCAGTAGGATACTAGCAGTAGTTCTGACTTAAATTTCCTCCAGAAAAATGGTGGGGAAGACAGTATCTTCCAACCTCTTTGTAACGTTATGGAGTTTTAGTAAACTTTACTTGACAAGAATAAAATTATGAGGCGTTTCTGCCTTAGAATTCTCTTTCTCAGGTTTCCCAAAATTATCTAGCATATATTAGGTACTCCGTTAGTGACAACAAACACTGTTATTTTTGTTGATTCTGGACCAAAAAATCAGCTCAAGCCCTAATCTGGATCACCAGGGAGAAATCATCTAACAACTGATAAATGTGCTGATGGTTCTATCAGAAAAGCACAAGCAACAAAAGAGAAAATAGATAAATTGGACTTCACTGACATTTAAAACTTTTTGTGCATAAAAGGACATTAATCAAGAAAATGAAAAGACAACCTATAGAATGAGAGAAAACATTTGCAAACCATATATGTGATAAAGATCTATGATCCAGAATATATAAAGATCTCTTACAATTCATGAACAAAAAGACAAATCAATTTTTTAAATGGGCGAAGGACTTGAATAGACTCTTCTCTAAAGAAGATATGCAGCCTGGCATGGTGGCTTATGCCTGTAATCCCAGGACTTTGGGAGGCTGAGGTGGGTGGATCACCTGAAGTTAGGAGTTCAAGACCAGCCTGACCAACAAGAAGAAACCTCATCTTTACTAAAACTACAAAATTAGCCAGGCATGGTGATGCATGTCTGTAAACCCAGCTACTAGGGAGACTAAGGCAGGAGACTAAGGGAGGCAGAAGTTGCAGTGAGCTGAGATCGCGCCATTGCACTCCAGCCTGGACAACAAGAGCAAAATTCTGTCTCAAAAAAAAAAAAAAAAAATATATATATATATATATATATATGCAAATGTCCAATAAGTACATGAAAAAAATGTTCAGTATCACTGCCACTACAGAAATACAAGCCAAAACTCAATAAAATACCACTTCACACCTACCAGGATGCTATCATCAAAGAAATAGAAAGTTAAGTGTTGGGGAGGATGCGGAGAAATGGAAACTCTCGTACATTAGTGGTAGGAATATAAAATGGTGCAGATGCTGTGGAAAAGAGTTTGTCAGTTCCTAGAAAACTTAAACATAAAATTGCCATATGACCCAGGAACTCCACTCCTAGGCATATTCTAAAAAAAAAAATCAAAAGCAAGGACACAGAGCTCAGAGGGATACTTATACACCAATGTTCATTTCTGCTTTATTCACAATAGTCAAAAGGTGGAAACAACCCAAGTGTCCATCAACACATAAACAGATAAACAAAATGTGTATATATGTAAACACAACAGAATATCATTCAGCCAGAAAAAGAAATAACCTTCTGATACATGCTACAACACAATAAACCCTAAAAACGTTATGCTGAGTGAAATAAGCCAGAAAGAAAACATCAAATATTGTACAATTCCACTTATATAGAATACAGACGGAAAGTAGACTAGAGGTTATATCAAGAACCAGGGGAAGGAGGGAAGAAAGATATGTTGCTTAAACATTACAGCTTTTTTTTTTTTTTTTGAGACGAGTCTCACTCTGTTGCCCAGGCTGGAGTACAGTGGTGCGATCTCGGCTCACCACAACCTCTGCCTTCTGGGTTCAAGCGACTCTCCCGCCTAAGCCTCCAGAGTAGCTGGGACTACAGGCATATGCCACCATGCACAGCCAATTTTTGTATTTTTAGTAGATACAGGGTTTCACTATATTGGCCAGGCTGGCCTCGAACTCCTGACCTCATAATCAGCAGGCCTCAGCCTCCCAAAGTGCTGTGATTACAGGCATAAGCCACCATGCCCAGCAATGTTACAGATTTCTTGTTTGAAGGGGTACAAGGTTTGGAAAGATACAGTAGTGATGGTTGCACAACACTGTTAATATAATGAATATCAATGAACTCCACATTTTAAAAAAAAATATTTTTTTGAGACGGACTCTCACTCTGTCACCAGGCCGGAGTGCACTGGCACAATTTTGGCTCACTGCAACCTCCATCTCCCAGGTTCAAGGGATTTTCCCGCCTCAGCCTCCTAAGTAGCTAGGATTACAGGCGTGTGCCACCACACACAGCTAATTTTTTGTATTTTTAGTAGAGACAGGGTTTCACCATGTTTGCCAGGCTGGTCTCTGGTCTCACATTCCTGACTTCAGGTGATCCACCCACCTCAGCCTCCCAAAGTGCTGGGATTACAGGCGTGAGCCCCCACTCCTGGCCTTAAAAGTTATTTTAACTGCAAATTTTACATTATAGATATTTTACAATTGTTTAGAAGTGGGGAAAAAAAGTATCAGAAAGGGGTAGTACTACAGTAGTGGTTGTGATAGACGGTGAACAAAAAATACTTATCAAAAAAATAGAAATGTAACATAAAGTGAGGGGAAAACGATTTGGAGGAAGTCTTATTGAAAAATGAGATTTTCTAAGCAGTATATCTCAGGCATCAAACATTCTAGTTTAGTGGAATATACAAGAAAAAATGTACAAAAAAAGTCCTTCAGCAAGAAGTACCCAGGAATTAAATATAATGACACATACTTCTTTCAGATGGTTCCGAAAAGATATAAACACAGATATAAACACAGATATTTATAGATATTTGTATCTATAAAAAGAGCTGAGCGTGGTGGCTCACCATCTGTAATCCCAGCACTTTGGAAGGCCGAGGCAGGGTAGATCACTTGAGGTCAGGTGTTCGAGACCAGCCTGGCCAACATGGTGAAACCCCGTCTCTACTAAAAATACAAAAAAATTAGCTGGGCATGGTGGCACATGTCTGTAGTCTCAGCTCCTTGGGAGGCTGAGGCAAAAAACTGCTTGAACCTGGGAGGTGGAGGTTGCAGTGAGCCAAGATCACGCCACTGCACTCCAGCCTGGGAGACACAGCAAGACTCTGAATCAAAAAAAAAGAAAAAGCAGACATAAAAAAATGTTAGCCAACTGTGAATTTAGATGAAAGTTTATGATGTTTATCATATGACTTTTTAAAAATTTTCAGTAGAGTTGAAAATTTTCAAAATAAAACACTGGGAGAGGGGACATTTATTTATTAATACCTTTCAATCAAGAGTTGCAACAGTATTTGGTAAATAAGAGATAATCATATTTTTTAAAACCCTTCGGCAGTAAGACTAAATGATAAATACTGGATCTCCTTTTCCATGGCAATTACCTCCTTTATAATATTAAAAGCAGCAGCAACCTAAAATGGGCAGGCAGGGGACAGTCTTAACACAACACATTAACAAAATGAAGCTAAAACCCTAGGAGGTCTGAACTAAACAAGTGTGAGAATTGTAAAGGTGCGGTCTAATCACTTGAGTCAGGGTTAGGAAATGGCAATTAAAGAAAAAGTCAGAATGAATGAAAAACAACTATAATTTTATAATGCTGTAAAGTATTATTAAATATAGAGCTTTTAAATTTTCTAAAGTCAGCTGTTTTAATATTACAAAAAAAGAGACTAAGAGAGTCTATCTACTTTGCTCCATGATATAAAACCATTTTGTTGAATATCAGAACAAAATTCTTATTTCTCAGAGTTCTTTCAAATACACCAAATATCCTCCTTTCTCTATATTCACAATACAATTTTGTTTACATGTCATGAGAAAACATCTTTAAGGGAATTATATGCTTGTATTAATATTATATGTGCATCCATAATACTTTCCCCATAAAGTTGTGTCGCTGAAGGTGCTAGCAGTAAGAACTCTTTCCCTATCTTAGGCCTTGAACCCCTAAAAGCAACTTGAAAATAGAAATCCTATCATATCTATCCCTTCACTCTCAGCTCACCCAGGTTGGTGCTTCACCACACAGTAGACACTCGACAAATGTTTGAAATGAACATTTGCTGAACGCCTAATTCACATGTTTGTTAGGTGGCATCATCATCACTGAGATCAAAATGAAGGTTCCAATTTAGAAAATGAAATCCTTTAAGGTTGCTCTGTTTCTACTTTAACTTCTTTATTCTGGGAGAAGATCAAGTTTAAGAAAAAATAAAAGCACATAAAAACATAGACCTAACCTGATGATTTCATACCACACAAAAATCAAAAGAAGGGTACACAATGCTATTAAATATGCTAAAGATATTGGGTATAAAAAGATCCTAACTATGATAAACATAATCAGTGATCGTAAGGCATAGCAGGAAGCCACTATCATCCCTTGAA